TATTTAAAAGTTAAGCACCTATAAACTGTGACACTGTCATCTATCCAATGCCTTGCATCTGTAAATTTAGCTATTATTACTTATTTATGACCATTTACATTTACTGATCTTTTGTGTGTGCTGTCTATTATTGCTGGTTTGCTAGTTACTTTGAAACTCTCTTCATACATAGTCAATATGGATAACCTATGAATGTTATTAGTAAAATACTTTATGGAAGCACAATATGGTTTTATTCTTTGTGCAAGAGCTTTGACACTAACACCAATTTTATTCTATATGATTGATAACTCTAGAGCATTTTTTTTAAAACTAAGCTACAGAAAAAAGTGAAAAAAAAAAAAAAAAAAAAAAAAAAAAAAAAATTGGAGACTTCTGTTTTCATTTTGAGAGATCTGTGGCAATACAACTATAGAGCCCATTTCCTCAATTTCAGTCTCTCTCTTTTGCTCTCTATCTCTCTCTATCTATCTTTTTCTTTTTCAGAATCACAAAAAAATCACAAATATTCTAAAATCTCAAAAGTTCATTTTAGTGTGTATGCATGAATTTTGCAAGAACTATTGTAGAAACTTGAAAAAACTTATGGAACATCAGAGGAGCTGTTATGCATTATCAATTCCTCTTTTAAAATCCTAATTTGTATATATTTGTTAGTTAATTAAACCCATTTTTAGAAACATTCATACACACAAATATGGTCTATTTTGATTGGAAAAACATGTAAAGTGAAGAAATATTAACAGTATTTTCAAATAATCCATTTTTGTAACTGATCATAGCCATTTTTTAAAGACAATTTTCCTGTGCACACAAAAGAGGGAGAGCATATTGAGAATACGCTTTGCAAAAGTCTTGTTGAGATTCAAAAATATGTACATCTCACCAATTTCACCAAAATAGCACTCCTGGCCATTTCCTTTAGTAAATGATCTCCATTAACCTAACTTTTATCTTCTAAAACTCAAACAGAAAACAAATTTACTTTATCCCTGCAGTCCTATTCACTATAATCACTGCCTACCACACCTTGTAACTAACTAAATATATTCTTTATTATTATTTTATATGATTCTTCTATCTTATCAAAAAAATTAATAACTCATAGATAGTGTCGACCTTTGCACTGCAGCCAGAGTTCACCTAAGATATTCATTATACCTAGGTAAAAGAATAAAACGGTAATAGTTGTATGCATTTCAGCAAAAATAACTAGGAAAGAGTTTGTCTAATTTGATCGAAAATGTCCTTCAAATACATTAAAATAAACTCCAAGTGAAAATCATATTATCAATTACTTCAAATATTTGTTTATGACTGATGTTTTAGCAGGAAAAGGTTATATGTTGCTTTGGTCTGCAGTTTTACTAAGACAGCCTAAATTAAGTTTGCAGTCTATAAATGTAAAATTACAGAGATGCAACATATAGTTATGTCAGTTTCTGTGCAACATGTGAAGTGAATAATAAATTATAGGATTATTTTACAGCTCATAACTACCCTTCTGCCTTGACACTTCATCTCACACAAACATTTATTGCATATATAAATCTTTTTCCCCTGAATCATGTCATCTTATTTATATATGTGATTTGACATAGAACATAGCACAAAAGTCCTTAATGTCCTTGATTACAGTATGACAATTATATGCCTGATGTCTAACACCATTTCTCAGATATTTACCCTTTTTCTAGAATTCAGTATTTATGAAATACTTAGAACACAGTAGTGATTATATAATCACTACTGTGTTCTAAGTATTTCATAAATACTGAATCATATATTATATATTATATATTATATATATAACAATAATGACTTGTAGCTAATAAAGAATGCTGATATTTTTCTAAGCTAATGATTGATTTTTCTCGTACATCAGGCAAAAGTGCATTAACTTTTGTCAGCAACTGTATAATATCAATATCTTCTAATATCACCTGACTTACCACTGCCAACAGACATGTTGTCGCCCCCACTACGGCTACTGCCACCACTGTCTTTCCGTGGTCTATCTCGTCCACGGTCTCTGTCTCTATCTCGGTCTTGCCTTTCACGGTCACGGTCACGGTCTCTATCACGATCTCTGAAAGAATGAAATTTATTGATTAAAGGATGAATAGCATGATAATCTACGTTACCTCGCTTTTTCTCTGGCGATTAGTGGAATTATTACCTTTAATTTAATTCACTTAAAATAAAATGTTTGGTGTGAACAATTAAATTTCAATTGCTAAAAATACTCAATCAAGCCAACAATACAAAAAAAAAAAAAAAAAAAAAAAAATAATCAATATTTACACAGTAATTATTGTAGAACATAATATGAATATTTTCAAGATGAAAAACAATCCACTTCACTGAAGTCCTACCAATATACTTTATATGGTAATATGAAATGGAATTCACTACACTTGCTATCCTGAATTTATCTCAGACATCATATGCTTTACAGTTTATGCTAAATGCATTTTATATCTAATCTAGATATTAGATG